TTTTTTGAGACAGGGTCTCACTATGTAGTTGAGAATGACCTGGAACTCACTATGTAGTCCAGGCTGGTCTCAAACTCACAGTGATCCTCCTGCCTCAGCCTCCCGAGTGCTGGGATTACAGGCCTGCGCCACCACGACCTGCAAAAATTGAATAATTTTGAAACAGAGTCTTGCTAAGTTGCTAAGGCTGGCCTCAAACTCAAGAGCCTCCCATCTTGGGTCCTCACAGTGCAGGCAGGCATTCTCCCATCTTCCTGCCACAGAAATGAATATCAGGGTTTAGGGGAACAGACACCTAACAGCCCACCTCTGCACCCTGAGACCACCTTGGTTTGCTTAGTGTTTCCTCCCTCTGCCCCTCTCTTCCTTCCATTCCAGGGATTGAACCCTGGGCCTTTACACAGAGCAATACCCACATCCCTTTCTTTTATATTTTTATTTGGAGACAAGGTCTTGCTGATTCAGAAAATTGCCCATTTTGGGCTGGAACTTCCCATCCTCCTGCCTCAGCCTCCTTCAGTGCTGAGATGACAGGTGTGCACCATCATACCTGGCTTGATGTATGGCTTTCTTTTTTAATTAAAATAAAAGTTTGTTAAGTCGGGTATGGTGGTGCACGCCTGTCATCCCGGCACTCGGGAGGTTGAGGCAGGAGGATCGCTGTGAATTCAAAATCAGCCTGGGCTACACAGTGAGATCCAGGTCAGTCTCAACCACATAGTGAGACCCTGTCTCAAAAAACAAACAAAAAAAGAGCTTTATTTTGTTTTATTGTGGATAGTTTGTACAAAGTTTCCAAATCTGAGACAATGTAAAATGGCTCTTTTAAGGTGAAAACAGAATGCCAGGTTCTAATGAAGGGAATTTTCTCCAAGGAATAAGAGTTATCTGCCATGTGCTTTTTGTAAGTGCCCACGCTGCAAAAAGTTTCTCAATGATATGAAGATGCTGGTACAACTTTTCCTATTACACAACTTCTGGCTTTCTCATTCCTCTTTTGGATTCTTTAGCTAGTGTTTTGTTTTCAGAAAATAGGACTTGAAGTTCTTTCTGGCACATCTGGAAGGGACAACCCTTCAGTCACTCACCCAGAGTGAACTCACACCCCCGCCCTGGCCAGACCACCGAGGCCAGGCATCTGTGAGAGGCTCTGCTCTGTGCACTCTGGGGAGAGCAGGAGAAGTTGCGGTCTGGGACACCGTGCGATGGCCAGGCAGGTGCATCTCAGCAATGGGGCGGCCGAGGCAGAAGGATTGCTGAAAGTTCAAGGCCAGCCTGAACTACAAAGCAAGATCCTGTCACAAACAAACAAACAAATCCAAAAACCAAACCAAGAGCCAGGGCCCATAAATCCAGGATCTGAAGGCCACTCAGCTTCTCTGGGCTCGCTTTCAGAGACAGTGAGCCAGTGCAGCTGGAGCTACTGCCACTGTGATTGCATCCTGTCACACGGTGCTGAGCAGCTGCTGCCCTCAGGGCGCCTCGGTGAGCACTTGTTGGTTTTGTTTTCCGGTGCTGGGGATGCACACAGGGCTGCGTCACCTCTGCATCACCTGGTGAAAGAGGAAACAAGGCACACAGAGTTTGAGAGCTCGTCCCTGGCACCACCTGCTACCCTCGCAGATATCAGTACAAGGGCCTTTTGTTTCTTTTTGACATAGTATCTTGCTGTGTAGCCCAGGCTGTACTTGAATTTGTGATCCTCCTGCCTCACCCGTCTGGGGGATGGATGACAGGCATTTCACCACGCCTGGCTCCCAGTGCTGAGATTACCCTAACCATATCAAGTACAGCCACTCCTGTTGGTGTGTAACTGTCACCTCCACCCATCTGTGCCCCTTCTAGCCCCACCCCGGGCAGCTGGTGGTAAGGGCCGCCATGTCCTGTGTCCTCTGGACTCAGCCAGGCTGTGGCAGGGGTGGAATTTCCACCCTTTCCTTTCTTTCTGCCCTGGGTTACACCTCAGCCCAGAACTTCTGTGTTTTGAAGGCTGAATAATATTCCACTGCTCAAGCCAGGCCATGTTTTTTGGTTTTGGTACCAGGGATCGAACTTGGACCCTTGTGCTTGCAAGGCAGGTGCTGGAACCACTGAGTCAAATCTCTGGCCCTTGTTTTTGTTTTTGACTGTTCTTAAGTTTGTGCTTGCACCACATGGGGTGACATTCCACGTGGGGAAGACCTGCCACCAGCCCTGGTGATCACTGCTAGGGCACAGGCTGTCTTTCATCTTCAGTGCTAGGGATCAGACCCAACTTCTTTGCACTGAGTTCCACTCCCATCCCTTTTCATTGTTTTTCTTTCCTATTTTTGAGACAGGTTCTTGCTAAGTCACTCAGTTGCCCAGGCTGGGCTTAAACTTGTGGTGACCCTCTTGCCTCATCCTCCCACGTGTCGTGGTGACAGGTGAGCACCACTGTGCCTGGCACCACCTGTGGTTTCTCCGGGTCCCTAACCTGCTCTCTCTGTGACCTTGGCGGTAGGGAAAGGCCAAGCCCCATCCCAGGAGGCCTGGAACAATGGCTCCTTCGTCCTTCTGGCCCTAGGACTGGACATGGTTGTGAAACAGCAGTGGCACTGACTTATGTCTAAGGACAAATTTGTCCTTCCCATTAATTCTGGTGTAATTCCTACTGGAGAAAGTTTTTTTTCCCCTGGTGCTGAGGCTGAAACTAGCACCCTGTGTGTGCCCTTGGGGCAGCCCTAGCCTTTGGGGCCACTTTACAGGTAAAGCCTGAAGCAGCCACAAGATGTGTTGATCTAACAGCCACTTTTGTAGGCAAGCGTCACCTGGCTATGCACAGAAGTGTTTCAAGTGAGACCGGAAACCCAAAGCCATAAAGAACCAAGGAGGGTACAGAATGTCAACCAATACGCGAGAAGGTCCCTCAGTGTCCGCTGGTCTTCCTGTCCAACGGGCAACCTCAGGGCTGTGACACGAAGGAGCCCTGCAGCCCAGTGGGTGGGGGAGAGGCCGAGGGCCCGAGTTAAGTAACAGTGACATCTTTTTAGTCTTTTTGCAGTGCTGGGGATGGAACCCGGGGCCTTGCACATATGACACAAGTGCTGTACCACTGAGCTGCACCCCCAGCCCTTTTGTGAGACGGGGTCCCACTATACAGCCATCTTGTGCCACTCCCTAGTGCACGTGGGCGCCACTCGATGGGGACGCAGGCAGGACATGGAGGGGTTGGGGGTCACCAGCCATATGGCCTAACAACAGTCCTGGGCCCCACGCAGGTGTGGTCTGGGGAGGGAGGAGTCACAGGCAAGATGTCACTGTGAGCTGCACATGGTGGCCCATGCCTGTAACCTCCGCACTTGAGGCTGAGGCAGGATTTGTCAAAGGCTTTCAGGTTGCACCAGGCAGCTGTCAATGTGAGACTCGGGTGGGGCAGTGAGGACGGATGGCATCTGGATCAAGTGGCACCAACATGCACTAGGGAGCAGCACAAGGTGGCATGAGACACCTGTGAAGCGAGGGTGGCTGGACCTCACCTGCCCTGTGCCAAACTCAAGAAAATGGGTCTTGCTGGGGTACAAATACCCTGTGTGAGAGCAGCTGGGCACCTCTGGGATGGCTCGGGCGGCTCCCACTTCCGGTTCCATCTCCGCTGCCAGCCGTTAGGGTGAGGGTGAGGCCCCATCTGGCAACCGCTGGCTCCCAGCTGTGTGAGACAAGGCCGGAAGGGACAGGAAGTTGTGTGGCTAATGCCACTGCACTCTGAGAAACACCGATCAAAGAAAGGGTGGCAGCCGGGCCATGGTGGCACATGCTCGTCATCCCTAGCTACTTGGCAGGCCGAGGCAAGAGGGTCACCAAACTTTTTTAGTATATTTGCTGCTGAAGCTAGCACCCCAGTGCCCCCAAATAAGGAGAGAGTGGTCCAGGATACAGCTCACAGCCTGGCACAGGCTCTGGGGTCCCTTGCTGGATGTCGGGTGGGCACCACCTGGCCTCTGCTGCCTCCTGAACCTACGAGCGGGACTCCCAGTCCCTGAGAGCACCCTCTGCTTCCTGTGAGCCCCGCCCAAGCCAGGGCAAGTATCACCCTGAGCCCACGGTTTCCAGAAGGTTCTTCACTGCCACCCACTGAGCTGTGCCCAGGCTGGGCACAAGGTCCTACATGGCTAGTGTCAGGGCACCTCTCCGAGCCCAAAAGGGTCACATGCCACTGTGAGGCTGTGGTGTGGGCCTTGAGGATGCCGGGCCCACATGGAGAGCCCCCCCCGCACCGTCTTTAAGCCCCTCTGAGCGGCAGGGCTTAGCCCCTGGGGTCTGGAGGTGACATGAGCTTTCCCTGAGGTCCCCTTACAGAGTAGACGACTTACTGGTGAAGCTGGCAGGAGAGGATGCAGTCTGGAGGTCTGCAGGTGCCCCATGAAGCTTTGGCTGTCACCTGTACACTGACGCATGCCTCTGTGATAACCCTGGCCAATGCAGATATCTAAGTCACATGGTGGCTCTGAGGGTTGACCTAGCCCTCAACTTGCTGTGGGGAATTCAATTTTTCTCCATCCTCAGGCTCTTTCAAGTTTATTTATTTATTACTTTGTTTTTGTTTTTGAGACAGGGTATGGCTATGTATCCCAGGCTGGCCTCAAACTCTCGGTGATCCTCCTGCCTCACCACAGTATTGGGATGACAGATGTGCATCACCACACCAGCTCATTTAGTTTTCTTTTTTAAATTTTGAGACAGGACCTCAGTAAGTTGCTCAGGCTTGGTCTGAACTGTTTTTTGTTTTTTGGGTTTTTTTTTGGCTGAATGTACCCAGGATCATCGGGCCCGCTAAGCCATCTGCAAGGCCCAAGCTGCCCAGGCCCAGTGTGTGCTTCCCAACTCAGGGAACCCAGGACACCACATGGCATCCTCCTCACCTGCTAACCCCCTTGGGACATGGGCCGAGCTCCCTGCCACCCACCACAGCCCTTCAGGCCCTTGGGGACAGATGTCACACTACTAGAAGCCTCATGCTCCTGCCCAGCTCATCCCGCTTCCTCCCAAGCATGTTCCCATCCAACTCTTGTCTGCAGCAGGGACACTAGCTGAGGCCCTCATGCTACCTGAACCAGCCCTATTCTGTCTGTGGCAAGCAGGGTGACAGGCTGGGGACAGGAGTCAAACAGTGTCCATGTGACAAAGGAGGCCCAGCCAGTGTGGAAAAGTGATTTCTTTCCTGGCCTAGGGCCAAGTTCATCAAGAGGTAGGGTATAGCCAGGCCTGGTGGTGCACACCTGTCATTCCAGCTGGGCACTTGGGAGGCTGAGGCAGGAGGATTGCCATGAGTTTGAGGCCAGCCTGGGCTACACAGCAAGACCTGTCTCAAAAAAACCCTAAACACAGCAAGTATTGTCACAGGCAGATGGCACGCAGTTGTCATGATGTGACAGAGAAGCCATCACTGCTTCCTTACTTTCAAAGGGAGGGACTTGGCCAGAGAGGGCTGGTAACTGGCCAAGGTCACACAGGTCAGTTGGCAGCAGTGGCTCCTTGGCATTTCTCAAATGAGTGCTTCCAGGGCCTGGGATGTAGTTCAGTGGCACTGTGCCTGCCTCACAAGCACAAGATCCTGAGTTCAACCCCTGGTCCAGGGGAAAAAATTAAAATAAATAAATGTGTTCTTCAAATGAGTGCTTCCAACTGCATAAACTAAAACACAGAGAAATGCCAGGCAAATTTATTATGTGAAAACAGGATAATGCCAAGCGTGGTGGCACATGCCTGTTATCCCAGCATCAGGAGGCTGAGACAGGGGGACTGGCATTGTTTGAGACCAGTCTGGGCTAAGTAGTGAATTCAAGGCCAGCCTTAGCTACACAGTAAGACTGGCTCAGAAACAAACAAACAAACAAACACCAAACAAAAAGAACCCAAGGCCTCGTGCATACTAAGCAAGCACTCTGACAATGAGTTAGTTACATTTCTAGTCCTTTTTATTTGGGGAAAAGGTCTCCCTAAATTGCCCAGGCTGGCCTAGAACTCCCGATTCTCTTGCTTCAGCCTCTGGAGTAGCTGCGATCCCAGGTGTGTGCTGCTACACCTCGGCTGATTATTACATTTTTGCTGTCCCCCAACACCCCAGGACTGGGGATGGGACCCAGGACTTAGCTAGGAAGGAGCTCTACACTGAGCTACATCCCCAGACCTAGAACAATATTTTTGGAAAAGCGTGATATCTGTGCTTCTTCCCTAACCCATTAAATTATAAAATGTACCAGCAAGTTGAACACAGTAATTTCAAAGTGAATTAGCCTGTCGGTAGATTCTGTCACTTGGTTAACCTCTAGCTACCTACAGCACAACCGTGGGTGTGCAACGTGCTGTGCATTTACTTTGGTGACAGAGTCTCATGTAGTTAACGCTGTGCTGTGCTGCCTGCGTCAGATTTGACTACAGTGTGCGGG